TAGTAGTTATGGAAGACCTAAAGATTAACAACACTGTAGATTGGAGGTGTAATCCACCATTACTCATCTCTGACTGAGTACCATTTATGATAAAGTACAGTTACAAATAATAGACATAGAGTGAACAAATGAATCTTTGTATCTTAAAGCGTTATAAATACATTTTGTTATCATGAGACAAAAGGCTTTGATAGATGACCAAGTGAATGCTGCAGATTGAAAGCACTTACAGAATTCTGGGCTACGACTACACCATCTCTTTAGTATGCAGCTGCACCCAGCACTATGCTGAGGATTCATGGGACTGTCGAATTGCAGCCATCTGAACAACACAATGACTAGAAGGAGGACTCAACACAAATAGAGGGTTTGAAAGTGAATGAGCTTCAATGTAGCTACTATCTAATACAAGCCATATCATATTTCCACTTATGTTTCATCACAAGGTCATATATTTATCATGTTCTGGAGGACTGCATACCAAGTTCAAAAGAATACTGACTGTTACTTTAAACATGATACAGAGATACATGATATGAAGTTCTTTACCACAGTAGAAAATAATAATCTATTTGTGGATACGGTTCTACTTTTGAATGCCACCACTTTGAAATGATAGAATTGGTGTTGAATTAAACATATAATTGTCTCTGTAACAAATATTTCTCTTCAGAACATTTTAACATAACTATCTTCCCCAGTCTTACATCAAGTGCTTTAATTTTTATTTATGTATAGAATCATCAAAATCAAAGAAATAAATGGAAAATATATTTCCTTTAGCAACTGTATACAAAGTAATATAACTAGGTTATAAAAATGCTTTGTAATTATCAGAAAGTCTTAGTTGTTCCTGAAAACTCATGTTTTCAAGGCCCTTCTGGCCAGTGACTTTGTACATTATAACAAAGTTCTCCCCACAGTTTTAGGAAATATAAGCAATGCATCCATTACCTCTGCCACAATGTCAGTATGTAACAATGATGGCCTTTTACTAATTTCCAATAGAATTCTCATATTCATATGAGCCTAGGTCCCTAATGCTATAGTGTGAATATTCATAAGAATTAGCTTTAATAATATCCTAAAAAATTCCAGGTCAGCTATGAACCTACTCCCCAGGTCTTCTATTCCAAGCAAGCTCAACAGTTACAGGTATATTTATAGCAATGGCATACTTCCACTATTCAAGCAATCAACACTATGTATATGTATTAATTTTCGATTGCTTTAATGAAATAACTGAAGTACACCAAAGTTATAAAGAAAAGCAGTTCATATAACTTGAAGTTTTCACTTCTGAAGGGACCTGTATTTTGGCCATGGTATCAAGAAAAACATATAAAGTGACAAGCAATGGCATCAAGAAACAGGAAGGCACTGAATGATTAAGGGACTATATTTATGCATTTATAAAATTTTACTCTTATTTAAACTCATACCAAGCAACCTATACTCTCTAGATTGTAACTCTAAAGGTCTATGAGAAGTCCTTTTCAGTAGGTTCATCACTTTGCTGAAAAAATCATTTACATCTTTACTCAGAGTTTAGTACATTGTCTAGTAAATATGATACTGAGATTTATTGATTGAATAACTGAGTCAGTTAATGATAGCTTTCAGCAAGTTATACACACATCATTTATCTTTGTGACAGACTAAAGATGGAAGACCACTATTTGGAACTTCGTTTTTAATATAATATTTTGAGATACTAATATATTTACATCATTTCCACCTTCCCTTTCTTTCCCGCAACCATTCCCATGTACATCCCTACCTTGCTCTCTTTCAAATCTATGGTCATTTTTTCTTTCATTGGTGGTGGTGGTGTGTTTGTTACTAAATAGAAATATATCCCTAACCTTCTTCAATCAATGTGTGGTTAGGTGACTTCTCAGAAGTGAAGAGTAGGTCTCCTATGCTAGGCTTTTAAAAAACTGTTTCATAGTTTGACAATAAATTTGTCAATATGTTTATAAACATTCAAATCTTCTTTTGTCAAACTAAGATGCTCACTAATAAATTACATCTTCTAATATTCCAAGGCAAGGAGCTTAAAAGAAGGTTAAGTGTTTTTTGTTTATGACTTGTACCTTTCTCAGTATGTTGTGAATGTTCTTAAATGACTGGCCCTCATTATTTCTTTTCTTTCTTTAAGTAGTTTTAAAAATTATTTTCAAATCAAACCTTAATCTTTAAAACTTGTGTCTTCTTTCATTCTATTCTTTTCTAAAAATCATCAGTCTTTGCACCATATTTAATTGAATATAGAATTATTTTTCTGTCTGTAAATGAAGTTACTGGAGGTTCCAAATAATTAAGTAGTTACAATCTAGTTAATTCCTAGAAAGATATTAGAGTGAAAAGAGTTGTGCAATGTCCTTCTTTCCATCTCCATCATCCTTCTAAGGTACACTCACCAAGCAAGAGAAGCAATCACACAATGCTATTATACTTCAGGTACTACCTAGGAGACACTTTTTGTAGATTACAGTAACACCTCCATTGTCATGGTTCATTTAACATTGCAACATAAAGAGTCAGTGACTATATTCAGAATGGCACCCTTGTTCAATCCACCAATATGCATTAATTTTACTGTGCTCTGTGGACAATATATTGCCACTTAGTCTAGGTATGCATGCATGCTTTGAAAAAGATATTTAGGTGGATTAATAGTCTGCTTTGATGATGAATGATGTCTTGAGGATGTAAAAGTGTCACTGAACTTTGAAATCATATTGCTAGTGGCAACATAAAAATATACAAACTAGAAAAACAGTTATTAATTGTGACCAGAAATAGAGGTTTCCATTTACAGCAACATGATTCTAAACAGAATTTGAAACATTTGTTGAAACACAAACAAATAGATGTTTCAACCTCTGGAACATTTCAGTCTTTATGTTTTTAGTCATCCTTGTATCATTTAGAGTAAGAAAACCAGATCTAACAATCCCCTAACAGCAGTGTTTACTTTGGGACTTAGAATCTAACTGTCCTTTTGGCTGCTAAGAGTTTTGTTGCTAGATAATCTCAGATGATTCGGGATTTGGAAGCTTAAAATACCTACACTTGAGAGCTTGGTAGGACTCTGTGACTTTCCAATACACAAAAATAGTTAATTAGTGATTATCCTAACAGTTTATCTAACACAGTAGTATCTGGAAATACCTTTTGCCTACCCTGGCATAATAGAAGGAGATGTACCTTGCTTCTGCATTCTGCCTTTGCAAAAATGAGTTCCCTGTAGTCTTCTTTCTGACCAAGTGAGGGAAAAATAAGGTGTGAAGGTGTGTGATCTCCTTATTATGTAAGCCAGGTCCAAGTTTATGCATTTCCATCCATATCAAGATGTCAAGATCTGACTATAACATTTATAATGCAGGAATGTGTCTTGAAAAGCTTCCAGTTATCACCCTCCCCTCTTTCTGCCATTTCAGGTAGGAGATAGAACGAATGACTAGCATCTCCATCCAGGAGCTAATCATTTCATTCAAAGCTAATTTAATATTCCAGTTCTGCTCCACAAGTCTTTTCAAGTCTCTTTATATACAACCCTTTTCAAGATATTTATGTACAGACAAATACTGAAGTTAACAACAAAGTTTTCAGTTTCCTTTTTTTAGTCACCTTCTAACCCAAAACTTCTGTTCCTTAGAAATGCCTAAAGCATCGGAACATCAAAAAGACAATGACTTGGTACTTTCTATATAAATACTTACCTAGGGAAATCAGAAAGTAGTGGATGTCACTTTCAAAAATCCATACATTTTTATTTTGCAAAGTATTATGCAAGCACTTTACAGTAATATTGTACATATTTATTGAGTCATTTGACACATTTTAGAGAAAATGTAATATATTTAATTTCTTCATAACTGTAAAGGTTCATGTCAGCTTTCTAGTTTGTCAAGGTCAGTTATTTGATAAGTAGGGATCATTTCATCCATAAAAAATCTTGCTTTTGATAAATAATTCTCAGGTAATAATTGGTACTTCCAGTGATTTATAAAGACAGTCTGAGTGTGGGGTCAAAATAACCCTTCATTAAATCAAAGCAGTGTACCAGATGCTTAGAATAAGGATGATAATTAATCCATAGCCTTGTAAGAGAACAAAGGCTCATTTGAAGAAGGCATTTACATGCTGAAGTAATTTCTTTTGTTCTTGTTTTGTTTAGTTTCTGATGGTAATTGAATTCATTAGAGATTTGGACTCTCAGTAGATATCGTTGATTGTCTGGAAGGATATCAGCATTTGAGAAAGTCTTCCTGCATGTACCAGGAGAATCAATTTACTTGTACATTGAGATGAAGCTTATCTAAAATGAAATCATATTAAAAGTTGGCACTAAGTTCTATGTTGCTTTTGTATATTTGATTTTTCGAGACAACCATTAAAAGACATCTCCTTTGAAAGGCAAGAAAGAAAACATTCTATCAAGTTTGGATAAATGTAAGTAGGATGAAAACCAGTATTTCATTCACTGATTCTAATCCTTTTTGAAAATTTTTGTAAATTTTCCATGTTGTAATAAAAAGAAAAGTGCATTTCCAACATGTAAACAAATTTTTCTTCAAAATGTTTAATTTTTTTATGTTTTACTTATGTGTAAATGTGTCAGTTTTTAGAGCATATGTCCATGAATTCAGGTTCATGTAAAGGCCATAGGCCTCAAATACCTATGGAACTTGAGCTACAGGTAGTATGAGCTATCAGACATGGTTTCTCAAGATCTCTAATGTAAGAGCAGTTCATGGTCTTCATCACTGAACCATATCTATAGCTACCCACCTATGTCTTAACAAAGATTCCAGCAGTTTTATTTACATGATTTCACTCTTGGCACACACACACACACACACACACACACACACACAAATAAAAATAACAGCAAATGAAATAAAACTGTTTTGAAAAGAAACAGAAGAAAGTATGTTTTTCTTACATAACCAAAGCCATATAGATCAAACAAACAAACAACTAAAACTTACTGAAAGAATATGGCCTTAGGGAACAGAAGGATGGCTTGTGGGTTAAGAACAGTCATTGTAGAGGACATGAGTTTAGTTTCCAGCATTCATGTTTCTTCACACCTGTCTGTGACTCTGTTTTCAGGGAATCTGATGTCCTCCTCTAGACTCTGAAACCAAGAGACACGCATTCAGTGTACACACACACATGCAGAAAAATGCTCATTTACATTAAAAAGTTGTATAAAATAATTGAATATATATAATTTTAGCATGTGTATTATCAACGTGCTGAATCAGAATGGTATTAAACACATCAAATCTAAACTAACATTAATCTGTGACTTCAATGAATGTCATATTTCTATTTCTCAATTAATCCATGACTTCAATGAATGTCATATTTCTATTTCTCAAGTGACCACCATTATGTTATTTCAGATAAATATAGCAACCCATATTCCATATCAAGGAAAATTCTAAAAGTGTGGAAATGGCATTAGTAAAATTGCTGTGGTGAGTACAAGGATAAGGATAAGTGATAATTGTGTAAATCATGCATGCTAATTCAAAAATATGACAGTAGGCAAATGGAAGAGGTTATTACTTTTTGTGTTGTTTTGTTTTTCCTTTTGGGAATGATAAAGTTTGGAAAATATTTCCTGGAATAAATTTTACTGCACATATGATACATTTATTTTTGGAGTATAATAAGTCAGAGTATTCAGAGCACTTGACATAGTTGAGAGTCCATTTTTCTCTGTTTTGTGGCTGCCTGTGAGTGGATAACCTCATGCTCACATGTACTCACATGAGTAGTGCTAATGGTACATAATGGGTTATACAATTAATTATTTCATTAAAATAGCAGGTCATGGAACATTTGTGAATCTGTTCATTGGGGAGAAATGGGTGGGAGTATATATGTTCATATTTTACTATATATGTGTGGAATTTTCAAAGAATAATTTCGGGGGGGTGAGACAGGGTTTCTCTGTGTAGCTTTGGAGCCTATCCTGGCACTCACTCTGGAGACCAGGCTGGCCTTGAACTCACAAGAGATCCACCTGCCTCTGCCTCCCAAGTGCTGGGATTAAAGGCGCCTGCCAACAATGTCCAGCCACAAAGAATTTTTTAAAACATGAAAAAGAAAATATAACTGATACTCCATTTTACCCATTAAAATGATTGTCATCAAGAAAGAAAAAGCACTGTTTAAATATAGCCTAATTTGTTAATCGCTTCTTTAGCTGAGGGGCATCTAGGTTGTATCCAGGTTCTCGCTATTTTAAATGCTGTGATGAACACAGTGGAGCAAATGTCCTTGTGGTATGCATCCTCTGAGTATATGCCCAAGAGTGCTATTGCTAAGCCTTGAGGTAGATTAACTCCCAATTTTCTGAGAAACCACCATATAGATTGCTAAAGTGACTCTACAATTTTGCACTCCCATCAGCAACCAAGAGTGTTCCCCTTACTCCACATCCTGTCCAGCATAAACTGTCATCAGTGTTTGTGATCTTGGCCATTCTGAAAGGTAGAAGGTGGTATCTCAGGTTCATTTTGATTTGCATTTCCCTGAAGGCTTAATGTCTTTTGGTCATTTGAGTTTCTTCTATAAAGGATTCTCATTTTTTAATTGGATTATTTGGTGTTTTGGTGTTTACTTTGAGTTCTTTTCCCATCATATAGGCTGCCATTTTATCTTATTGACCATATCCTCTGTCTTACAGAAACTTCTCAGTTTCAGGGGGATCCATTTATTAATTGTTGCTCTCAGAGTCTGTGCTCCTGGTGTCATACTTAGAAATTATTCTCCTGTGCCACTGCCTTCATGTATATTTCCCACTTTCCCTTCTTTCAGGTTCATTGTACCTAGATTTATACTCAGGTCTTTGATACACTTGGACTTGAGTTTTGTCCATGGGGACAGATTTGGATCTATTTTCATTCTTCTACATGAAGATATCCAGTTATGCCACTACTGTTTGTTGAAGATGCTTTCTTCTTTCCATGGTAAAATTTTGGCTTTTTTGTCAAAAATCAGGTGTTCATGGGTATGTGGATTAATATCAGCATCTTTAATTAGATTCTATTGATCCATATGTCTATTTTTATACCAATACCAAGCTGGTTTTTTTTTCTGTATCTCTATAGTAGATCATGAAGTTAGGGATAGATAAAATAGAAAATAACCATCCTGAAGGAGGTAATCCAGACCCAGAAAGTCAAACAGTGTATGTCTTCACTCATAAGTAGATGTAAATCAAAGGATAACCAATCCAAAACCCCAGAGAAGCTAGGGAAAAGGGGACCATAAGATGGACACACATGGAAAACACCAAGAAGGGAAAATCATTATGGTCTCCTGGGTAAACTGGAAGGGCAGTTGAGTGGAGGAGATGGGGGATGGGAACATGAAAAATCAAGAACAACATTTTGGGTAGGGATGGAGGGAGAGATCGATGGAAGGTGTAACTCGATAGAGGAAGTCATTATGGTGCTTGAGAAATTCTCAGGAATCCACAAGGATTAACCCTGCTAACACTCCTAGACATAGTGGAAAGGCTGTTGGAATGTGTCTTTCCCTTTAATCAGATTAGTGACTACCTTGAATGTCATCATAGAACCTACATCCAGTAACTAATGGAAGCAGATGCAGTGTTCCACAGCCAAGCACTGGGTTGAACATCTGGAGTTCAGTTGAGGAGATGGAGGAGGGGTTACATGAACAAAGCAGGTCAAGAATATGATAGGGAAATCCACAGAGACAACTGGTTCAAGCTAGAGGGAGCTCATGGACTAAGGACTGACAGCTGAAGAACCTTCATGGGATCAAACCAGACCCTCTGACTATGGGTATCATTTATATGACTTTTTCTGTTGGGTGGCAGGCCATGGCACCAGGACCTATCCCAGGGTTATGAACTGGCTTTTGGGAGCACACTCCCCAAAGGAGTCCTTAGCCACACTGTGGAGAGGATAGAGAAATAGGAAGAGTTGGAGGCAGGGAAGTAAGTGAAGAGGAGGAGGGGGAACTCGGGTTGAACATGAAATAAAGTATAAATTGAAAAATATGAAAGAAAAAACAATGAACATTAATGATGATGTCAGAGAAAATGACCCCGTATTCACTACTGGTGAAACAATAAATTAGCATAGTATGGAAACAATTATGTAGATTTCTCAAATCACTAAAGTAGAACTTCTATCTATCTCAGCTATACCACTCCTGGGCATATATCCAAAAGACTTTAAATCCTACCCTGCACATCCATGTTTATTGTTGCATTAACTACAAGCAAGATAATTGAACTACCCTTCACTACCAAGACCAGATGAATAAGTAATAAAAATATGGTACATATGACCAATAGAAATTTATTTAAGTATGAGTGAAATTTACAGATAAATGGATAGATACGTAAAATATTACATTAAATGACTGAATGCTGAAGGACAAATAAACAGATTCTCTCTTATACATGAATCCTACCTTATACTATCTCTATGAATGTATATAGGCAGGGATGACTGTTGAGTATAGACGATGAACCCAGAAAAAAATTGATTCTAAGAGCAGTAAACTGTTGTCAATGAGGGAAATTCAATGGGACACAAGTGACTTTAAAGACAAAAGGGGTAAGGGGTACAAAGTGGAGTCACAAAGGTGGGGAAAGGGAATGAGAATAGTTTTGTTTGAAAGTGCTACCATGGGCTGGGCATTGGTGGCACATGCCTTTAAGCCCAGCAGAGGCAAGCGGATCTCTATGAGTTCGAGGCCAGCCTGGTCTCCAGACTGAGTGCCAGGATAGGCTCGAAAGCTACACAGAGAAACCATGTCTCGAAAAACCAAAATAAAATAAAATGAAGACACAACCATGAAGGACTTAAAACATGTGTCAGTGAATGAGAACACTTGTCTCCATCAGAAGCATTCAGACTTGATTTCATTCCATGGCACCCACACAAAAATTCGGGCTTGCTTATGCAACCTTGTATTTTAATTGTATTGTATTGTAATTATCTAATGTGACATAAGCTAATTAAAAGATTAAAAACTATAACCTAAGAATTGTGTAAAAAAAGAGGAAAATGTTAGATAGCCCAGAAAAAAGAACCGTCAGATTGAGGGGAAGGATATTGGGATTATTAATTTATTAATTTTATAATGAAAGGCAGGACCTCCCAAAAGAAGGGACAAAGAAGAGCCAAGCATCATTCTTCTGTTGGAAAGGACTACAGGGTCCTAAAGATACAGAAAGAACTTTGCACAAGCAGGTTATTTTTTTCATTTGGTGACAGAAATACTTCATCTTGAATCTTTTTCAACAACTGCAAAAATCAATGTTATTTCTGATTATGTTACAATAATAGGAAGAAATACAAAAGAAATGTGGTGATGAATGTGAATGCTCCCATAAGCTCATGTATTTCAATGTTTGCTTCCTATTTGAAAGAACTGTTTCGGAAAGATTAGGTGGTTATCACTCCATTGGAGGAGGTGTGCCTCTGGGCTGGGATTTGAGGTTTCAAATTTCCACACCATTCCCAGTTACTGCCCCCTCCTCTCTGCCTTGTGCTGTAAAATAACATGTAAGCACTTAACTATTGCCCTGTGCCATGACTACCTACCAGTTGCCATGATACCAAGTATTGGGGTCATAGAATCTAACATTTGAAAGAGTAAGACCAAATAAACTTTCTTTTGTATGTTAACTGGATCCTGGTGTTTTATTACAGCCATAGAAAGGTAATTAAGACCACATATTTTATGGAGATTAATTGAAGCCTATATAAAATATTTAAGTGACTAACATAAAATAGACTTAAGAATGAAAGAAGTAATTAGGAGCTTAGGAAACATGATTTTGGTCCAAATATGGTCAAATTATAGTAAACTGATGACTAGTTAACTTTTACAGCATACTGCAGTTGGCTGTAGTAGACAAGTGTGTGAACTAAATACAACCCTTTTTCTTAAGCCATGAGACTAAAAAGAACAGTAAAAGATGGAACTAGTTAGAAATATATAATGTGAAAATAATTGATATGATTGACAACGAAGCTTGAATAAAGAAAGCATTGTAAAAAATAGAGTGAAAAACTCATCAGGGCAAGCACTGTGATGTTGAAGAACACATACACTGACATGAACTGACAAAAAGACTCTAGTGATGTTTTGGTAAGCACAGTTCTACCTCTAGTCAAGACATTTCAGTTCTATCTCTGTTATTGAGGATGATATATATGTATATAGTTACATTTTTTGAAGTCATTTTCCTTGCTACATTTTTTTGGGAAGCTTCAGCCATTGTACAACTATTTTTCTGAGAATTACAGATTATAATTACCCACGTTTCTTATACCTATGAGATTAGTCAGACATAAATATTTGATCTTCAAACACTTCATACACCTGCAGAATATGACATTTAAATTTGTTTTAACATTAGTACTCCTTTGACATGAGACTTAATTGCTCCTGACAGCATTGAGCTATTCCCAAGTTTGTTGGGCACCAATGACACTCCTTCTGGAGTTCATTCTCTCCTTGGTTAATGGGCTCTTGGGGAAAGAACTGCCCCCCCCCCCCACTGCTGACTTTGGACAGGCTGTCCTAGCTGAGCTTGCAGGAAATAAAATTTTAAAAAAAGACTGCTGAACCTTGTGAAGTCAGGGTAAGACAGCCTTTAGTTTTCCTGCTTCTGTGTTGGTCAGTTAGTTATTCTAGGCCTTAGCCAAAACTGGTTGACCCTATGCTGTTGTGAGACTTTGGGTGACTGTCCAGGTAGCCTGCTGTGTTACAATAAATCTTTTCGCCAAAAGGCATCCAAGCCCTACTGCCACGTGGGTGCTTTGCGCCAGCTGCCTGAGTTCTGCCCACCGAGTTAGGGCCCCAAATAATAAACAGAGACTTATATTAGGTACAAATGCTGCTTGGCCAAAGACTGACTAGGATTTCTCATCTGTTAGCTCAGTCTTAATTATCATAAACCTATATATTTTATAAGACTTATCTTATAGAGGCATTGGCACCCTTTCTTGCTGGTGGATCACATGGCAACTCCAGAGCAGAGACCAGGAGGAAGAGAGAAGGGGCCCACTTCCTTCTTGCCCTTGTTTATGAGTCTCCCTGCTATGTCACTTCCTTCGTGGATCACCACTTCTTTACTACATTTCCCAGAATCCTCCTTGACTCCTAGTCCCACCTAACTTGCTGACTCATTGGCCAAAGAGTTCTTTATTTATCATCCAGTAAACAAACACTTACACAGAAGCACTTCCCCCATCACTGCCGTTTCTGTTTTGCTTGCAACTTTGGAAGTTACAGGCTTTCTCTTCCTGCCTACTCTAGTATTGTTATCCTCCTTGTCAGGTCATGGATGAAGTTGAATATTAGAAAGTCACAATTATTGTCCTCTCTTCCTAGATAGAAATATAATATACAAGACTTAAACTTTCCAGTTTAGAACAACTTTGTAGTAATCTCTGTTATGCCTTATTTTTAGAAACAGTATTATTTTACATATCAACTCCCCGAACCCACACCCCTACCTACTCCCCAAGGATAGTCAGGCCTTCCAAGGGGGATCACCAAATCTGTCACATCATTTTGGGGAGTGCCTAGGCCCTGTTTCGTGTATCTGAGCTGCAATAGTATCCCTCCATAGGAAATGGACACCCAAAGTCCATTTGTGCACTAAGGATAAACAATGGCTCAACTGTTAGAGGTCCCATAGATTGCACTGGCCTCCTAGGTGACACCCACATTCAGAGTGCTTGGTCGGTTCAATGCTGGTTCCCCAGCTTTACTACTAAGGTCTCTGTGCTATTACTAGGTCAGGTCAACTGTTTCTTTGGATTTCTACAGCACATCCTTGGCTTCTTTGCTCATCCCTTCTCCCTCTCTGTAAATGGATTCCAGGAGTACAGCTCAGTGTTTAGCTGTGGATGTCTGCTTCTTCCATCAGCAACTGGATGAAGGCTCTAGGATGGCAAACAAGGTAGTCATCAATCTCATTATAGGGGAAGGGAAACAAAGGCAGTCTCTTCACAACTGCCTATTTGGGGTCTTTTCTGTGGATTCCTGAACTTTTCCTTAGTGCCAGACCTCTCTATAAATGTATACTGGCTCCCTCTATCAAAACATCTCCTTTCTTGCTCTCCTCTATTCCTCCCGTCTCAGTCTTCCTGATCCCTCTTGTTCTCCTCTCCCCTCCTCTCCCCCCTTCTCTTTTACCAGATTTCAGATCGATCCATATCTATCACCATGCAGGTGTTTGTTCGTAGTTGATATTTGCTATCATTGTGTATAGTTTTGTATCAAGCCTAAATCTTCTTTATACTAAAAGAAGAATTGTAATGAGATACTCACCACCACCACCAACAACAACAACACCCCCACCTACACCTGTAATGCTGTGTGTGCTCACAGGTTCAGGACATGATAAGGTAATTAGGTTTGGGGTCAGAGCTCTCTTTGGCTTCCTGCTAGTGTGGTGGAGAGCATCCACATGGTAGGGTCAGCATCTTGGAGCAGGAACCAGTGGCAGTCATCTGTTTCTTGTGTAAGTGCATTCTCCAGAAGTAAACTTCATTTAACCTGTACTGAGTCTACTGGATCTTGATTCCCTTATAATACTAATCAAATAATACTTCCAAATGGATGTAGAAGAATGTGAAAGAAAATATTTCATAGCAGAATATGTGTGCCATTTAGAATCTGAAAGCCCTGCCTTCAGGACCTGATTCTAGCATTTACCAGTTCTGTGGACTTACACATCAGAACCTTTGTTTTTTCAAAACTACTAAAATTTAGATTCATTTAGTGTGGTAGATTATATGATTGCTCAATGCTGATCAATGAAGTAATATTACAATGATTATATCTTCTTTTATATGCTTGTTTTCAGTATGAAATATATGTTCATATAAAATAAAAGGTAAATATATAGTTAATCATCTCAATATTTTTTTTCATTTGCAACTCCTAAAAGGACTTTTCTTTCCAAAACAGTGAAAATAATTATTGCTTTTCACATTGTTTATTTGGAAAGATATGTCAAATTCATAAAAATATATCAAAATATTTTCATCTTTGAATAAAATAGATATAATTCTCTTGAATTTGGCAGTACCATCATTACCTCTTCTTTTGGATCATAATATGCCTTAGGATTCTATTTAATTAAGTGATTTATGTGCAAAGGCTTTGCATGACTGCCACGTCATCTTTATTATCAAATTATGAAAAAATGAGCCCTAATTTATGACTTTTTATAAAATGAGCCTATATTATTCTGTTATAAATGTCATCATAATATGAATCTTATTTTTCCTTATAAAGCTAACTTAAAACCAGCATATATAACTTTGCAAAGTTATATATTGACAGGGCTGAAAATAATTTGACTATCTTTGAAATTTGAAATATTTTATATGAGAAGAATATTGATGATTGTTGTTTACAGAGATGGAAAATAATGCACATGGTTTTGTTATTTGTTTTCAAATATTACCCTTGTCAGGTTGGCCCTTAAAAGTAGCTAACTTCTTCCATAACCAGCTGTGCATTGTAATGAAAATTTTAACAGACTTCTTTTGACTGGATAAGAAACATTTTGATTAAAAAGAACAGAGTAGAGGAAAATTTAGGCAGAAAATGTGCCTGAACTAAAGAATTTTTCCTTTCATTTTTATTAGTCACAAAGCAATCTTCCATGTTTAATTTACGGTTAAATATTATAAGGATACCTTTCAGTCTAGTGAGAAATCCTACAGTTTCAGTTGGCCATGTGACTGTAGTCTGGATGGCTGCTGTGCGGCAACTCCCTCCTATCAGAAGCAATTGTTGGATAACTTGAAATTCAGCCTCCACATCTGGAGTACATGCGGGTCAAGGATTGCAATCACCTCCTTTTTCTTTTAAGCAGTTGCTGAGCTTAAATGAATCCTTCTACACTTATAAAAATACCTCTTTTCTCAATGTAAAGACTGTGCAGACAGAATAATAAAATATCACAGCTTTAGTACCTACTCCTCAATTATTCTCAATTTTTCTTTCTACTTCACTCACTTTAGTACTTACAGAGAGTTAGTAAATTCAAACTGTGGATTAACCTTTGTAATTTCATTGAGGAATGCTGGCAATTTAACACTAAGATGCATAATACTCTACATTTTCACAAAGAGCTTGGTTTTAAATCTAACATCAATACACAAAATATAACAGCAGGATTATACCAATACACACATGCAGAACATTTTTCCTCCTCACAGATGAGGGCTCTCACAGTAGACAAGAACTCAAGGGGTATTTATGTCAGAACTCATCGCATTTTCAAAATTGGCTGTGCTCTGCACATAATTTCAGATTTCACTGCTCTCTGGCATTTGAGTCCATCTCTCCCCCACCCCAGATGTAAAACACTTGTCTATTCTCAGCACTTTATCAAGCTATTATTAAAAATTAATGAACCTATGAATTCTTGCACACTCTATTTGAACATCTTACCTAATTCTAATGTTTTGTTTGAGGTAGCACTCTCATAGGGATTACTTGATCCTCCCCTAAAAATCTGGGTAATTCCTTAAGAATTTGTTTTAAAATCTATTTATTTACTTTAAAGACAGAAGGTATTTTTCTTAACCCAAGGGAAAATGAATCTGACTCCTGCCTCAGTGATGAGCAACAAACACCTCATTTCCATTAGCATGCAGATATTTTTGGACTCACTACAAGCTACCAGTGTGGAGATCATTTATGGAAGTTTCTGCCTCTCTTCATGATTACAATTCTAGCACAGATTTTCATAATTCTAAAGTTGTAGAATGCCATTTTGGGGGCTTTGTCTTTGGTGCTATAAATTCTGAAGTTAAATTTTTCTCTACGTGTGCATATTTTTGTTTTTGTTGTGGTATAAAACATAAGAAATTCTCCTTCATAAACAACAATTATAGGGGCATAGACAAAGATTGGCAGTGAAGTAAGGAGTCTCTGTACTATGGTTAGTATGATATGTCTGAATATTCAGTTTGATTTTTACATCTATGACACTTGTCATGTAGGAAAACTGGAGCATACTTTCTAGTGTATGGCAAGAACAGGATTGGGCATAGAATTTGTTAGTGGAGGCCAAGATGATATTCAACACCAAAAGCTAGTGAAAATCTTCATTTAATGAATGATTTGGGGGTTGTTAGCTGTGGAATAGAATATTTGTTTAACTATGTAAAAATATGCTGCACCTCTTTTATGCTGCATTTGTTTAATTATGTAAACAATTAATTATGTGTGGCTGTTCCACCTTTTCTGCCTAAAACTCCTTTTTGGTCTAATAAAAAGCTGAATGGCTAATAGATAGGCAGTAGAGGGGTAGTTTGGTGAGCAGAAAGATTCAGTAAGAGGAATATCTAGGTTTAGGAGCGAATGAGGGAGAAAGAAAGGAGATGACAGGGTCCAACCAGCCAGGAAGCCACCAGCCATACAAAAGGAAGCAGAGAAGTAGGTCATACAACACGAAAGAAAGATAAAGATCCTGGAGGCAAAACATAGATGAAAAGAAACAGGGTAATTTAAGCTAAAAACTTTTAGCCAGAAACAAACCTAAACTAAGACCAAGCATTCATAACTAATAATAAGACTCTGTGTCGGGATTTGGGCTCTGTTGGCCTGAAAAACTCTGCTTCATCTCCATGACCAAGTGGATTATTTCTCTCCATGCATAAACTATATTTCTTTATGCAACAGATTAATTTGTTTATCTATGGAGTATTCATGAAGCTAACAAAAATGGACAGGACTGACAGTGTGTCAGTAGCATATTCCAAAGAGATTAATATTCCAACTTATTTTTAAGCTATAATATTATTTATCAGTTCTTTGAGAATTTAACACATGCCCACCAAGTGTATTTTATAGCATTCACCCACCTCATCTCTCACTAATTCAATAACTCTCAACCTATGGGAGTCAAATATCCTTTTGAGCAAAAATGACCCTTTCCCAGGGGTACCCTGAGATAAACAGAAAACTGAGATATTTACCTTATAATTCATAGCAGTAACAAAATTAGATCTGTGTTTTATCAATTGATGGATATGGTTTACCATACCATGAGGATGGTTTACCATACCATGAGGAACTGTATTTAATGGTCACAGCATGAGTAAAGTTGCGAACCATCCCCAAATATATGTCCTCTTTTTTTTTTCTAGGACCCAATGAGTCATTTTGTTTAGCCTATGTACTCCTGGGTATAGGGTCATCCCTGGGAGAGTGATCATTCTAACAGGGGTCAGACCCCAAAGGTAAATTGATTGTCCTTATTATTCCTCTTATAATATTAATAAGATATTCACATAGTTCAAATATACCAAGTAATAAATGTATATAATTTAAAAGTGTATTTTCATTTCACATGTTAAGTTTAATACCTTGTTAAAGCCTTAGATACTTAATTTGTTTAATTTTAGATATCTGTAAGATTATGTCTCAAAAGACTTTATTATATCACTAATTGAATATTCAACTTTTAGTACTTAGCAAGGAAAAAAACATTTACTTTCTAACATTGCCCCAATAGTTATTTCATTTTTGACAATAATGTTATCCTTATGTCCTGATATAATTTTTATATTGACTGCTTTTGCAATGAAATTTTTTAAAGAGAATCTTCTATTTTATATATAATTTCTGCAATTACATTAATCAAAGATCCATGCACTGTGCTAAGACTGATTGTCCTTCTTATAGTGGGTAAAACATCTCCTAGCATTTGTCACATGTTAGAGATTATTTTAGGCATAATAGATTCAGTAGAGAGCAAAATAAAAACAAATCACTAAAACTAACCCTCTCCATGAGGAGCTTACTTCCTCATATGTTCAATAGCTACAAGTAATCCCAAGACTCGGGAGATAGGCAGGTATCTGTTAGTTCAAGGCCACAATGAGCTACATGAAATTGATCCAGTCTAAAAGAAAAACAGCTTACACAAAGGTG